TGTATCACTGCAGTTTTCGTATCTATACTTAAGTTCAACCATTTAAGTGGATAAACTAGTTTTAGATAAAATATTCAGAATATACTCTTATAGCAACGTTAATTATATGTTAAGTAGGTATGTGTAAGGCATATAAGATGCGGTATAATCGCAGGATATAATATAATATATTAGTTTTCTCTTTAATTAATGTTGTATGAAGATCTTAATATGTGGCGCCAAGCCCATGTATCACGAGCGGGTGACTGACTGAGGTGAGTGGGTGGTTATAAGTAGGTAAATCTGAGTATTGAGATTTGGAAATAATTCTATTCATCAGTATCTTTATAAATTAGCTGTATGACATTGTTGTAAATGAAAAAAAAAATAAAAACAATTAACATAGTTATTCAAAGCCCTTTCRTTTTAAATGATATTTACTTAATAGGTGGTGTAAAAATAAATCAAACCGCTACCTATCCAAAGTTCCCAAATACTAAACACTTGTGTCCACCTATAAGCATATTATGTCACAACTCATATTCGAAAYTCACGCCTGTAGATTTTTATTATTTTAACAGGTTGACTGCCATGAGACCTTTATGTGGGTCACATGAAGTTTGCTAAAATGTTTATGAGAAAATCATAATGCTTTTGCTATTCATAATGATAAATTCTTTATTATATTCATATTAAATAATTGTCTATCAAATATTTCTGATACAGGCGTAAAAATATAAACAATTATTATCGAGTCAGTCACTCAGTAGAATGTTGAATATTTAAAGGGATTAAAGACAATAGTTACAGCACGAAGTACATCGTGTACTGTGKAGTATGTAAATTTGGTGTCTTGGCGTCCTATGAAACTCAACTGAGTTTAATTTTTGTAGATGCAGTAAATAGTTGAACAAAAGCAAGAGACCAGGTAATACAGTAGGTTGAATCATTTTTTTCCAACTTATTTGATTCTGCATAAAATTATTTATTGACAATTATTGAAAAAAGTTTAAATATCTCAGGGCTACACTAAATATTTCAGCCACAAACATTAGTACAGAAATTAATTTTGGGGGGAACCTAAGAGGTACTGAGATATTTTGTGAAATTTTTCAATTTTTGACACTTACGCAGCATGCATGCGTAGTAAAAGTTTATTTTTTTAATGGTAACATCTATTTTTAGCAAATTATTTGGATTGACCAATTTTTTATCATCGTAGATGATATCATAATACTTGGCTCTAAATTTAAAATTTAATGAATGACAGCCATTACTCAATTTTGGAAAAAAATTTGTTTAATTTGACTGTGTAATTTATTAATTTTTTGTCCATGTATGTAATATTATTAGTTTCTATGCAAAATCTGGATTTTAGTACACATTTAAGTTTATCCATATTAAAAATACTACTTCTTCTATTATTATAACTAGTATTACGATAATTATTATAGTATTTAATACTATTACTAATTAGTGGAGTGAAATTAACACAAACAAAAACGTACATAGTGTTAAAATATTTTACATTTTTATTCATAATTTGATATCCAGAAAATAATTATAAAAATTAAAAACACAATTGCCCTAAAGAAGGTGAAGATTTTTTGCGTAGAAATTATAGCATTTAATGAAAAAATATAGAAAATTACACACATGAACCTAAAATTAATAAATTATACAGGTAAATTAAACAATTTTTTTTTTTTATTGAGTWATAGCTGTCATTCATTTAATTTTTAAGATAGAGTCATGTGTTGTAAGTAAAATTGACTTAAATAAATTATAGAAAATTATAATATGGACATTATTTTATATATATATATATATATATATATATACAATATACATAGTAATAAATTGTACCATATCAGAGTAACTCAGTTACCGAAAAGTGCCACCTATCTTGACACAATGGAAACGTGAAAAGGGCCGATCTATATTAGTAAAACTAAAAGTCAATGGTTGATACCATGAGTAATCACTGACTATGTTACTCTAACATATTTATAAAGTGCCTAAATATTTTGAAAATTTTAACATGTAGGTATAGAAAACGATAATGTGAACATTATTTTTTTGAACAAATCAAGTGTATACAGTTGTTCGTTTTTGAATAAAAAAAAAAATTAATAAATTCTTTAATTTATTAATGATATCCAATGTCAATATAAATACCATATCTGACTATAATTTTTCTTTTTTTCTTTAAGTTGAAACCTCAATAATAGGCCCACTGGCTTGTATTACATACTTAAATATTAACTAAACTAAATTTTACAATTTAACATCTTTCATAAACAATGAAAAAAATTTTATAGCATCTTCGTTAGAGGCCGTGCGTTGCTAAGGTGTAAGGGTATAACAGTTCTGCAGGTATGTCATATTTTTGTCAGGACACTCATGTGTATCTGCGTTACTACATTAAGTTAGATTATGCTTCAAATATTGTACAACTTACGAATAAATTAAAAGTAAAAACAAAACTATTGAATTATAATTTAAGCATTAAAAGTATGAATAAATTACAATAGATATTTAGGACTTCAAAATGTTCATTACTATAGCTAAATAGGCATAGAACAATCTGCACTTAAATACATTATACAACATCATTATTTTTGTCCTTTTATATTGACCAACCATTGAGAACGACTTTTAGCTTGAATATTTTTAAGGATATTTTTGAAAATACAAAACCAAATGATTCCCAATATAGTACTAACAGCTGTTTCTACGTAGAAACCGTTCAMTATAATAACGCAATGCCCTCCTTTTGTTTCACACACCTAAAAACAAAAGTAGAAAAAAAAATTAAATAGAAAATGAATAAAAAAAATATTTAAATACTTTCAGATGTCACTAATGGTGGCTTATTTTTCAAAATTTATATTTTAATTGTATTGAGTCATCACATAATCTTATTAGTTATTGTGATAAAAAGAATAAATTGTGCGTGTTTCTTAATGTAAAATAAAAAATACTTATTTCAATATTATTAAATTTTTTAAGCCTGAAAAAATATATTGTAATACTGAAAAGTGAAAGCTATAATATTTAGATTTCAGAAAAATAATGGAACAAGCAGGTATTCTTCAATCTGCATAGTCGATAATATTATAC